ATCTCAACATCATCACTTAAGCACTGTAGTGCACTTGACTGCTTGAAGAGAAAATATATTAGCCCTTTATTTTTGGTAAAAATGTTAATGAAGAAGGCAAAAGCTCATATTTTAAGAAGCTCTCTAACTACCGAACAAGTCTATTGGATAAGAAAAGAAAATGCATACCTCATAAGCAGGAAATGAAATTGGATCTGTATCATTGTTACAACTTGGTATGCACACTTCCTGGCTGGCAAATTATCAGTATTAGGTATTAGTGACTGAAATCCAATAATGGCTTCAAAATCAGTCTTTTCAAAGATGAGGGTGGGTTCTGATTTTGCCAGTTCACGAAGCTGATGAAGTATCTCCTCTTTATGTTGTCCAGAAGAAGAATAGCGGTTTTGATTCCAAAACAATACAATGAACCATCTCATATATTCACAATAGTTAATAGACAATTTCATCAAATATATAACACCATGAAGCCTCATTCCCCCGGAACAAAATATAGCAAAAGCGAAGAAATTTGCACTTAATGGTGAACAATTCATTCAAAATGTTTTTGTACCGTAATTTCTAAACAAAAATAACCTAAATACAGGCAGCAAAACCTCAATCAAATCAAGTTATCTAATTGAACTTGAACATGAAAAGTTTAATCACCCTACTAACTGTCACCAACATCATTTCCTAAAAAAAAAAATCAAAATTAAAATTTGATTAGAACCCCAAAATTCCATAGCACTGTTTAGGAATTCTTCACTAGTATAGGACTCATAAAAAGGACATTTTCTAACCAACCAACATAGACACATAAGAAATGCAAAAGAATGGAAAGGGTCAACTTGATACTTGGGCTGAGGAGGAACATCCGTGGGCTTAAACCCATTATCATGATCACTCGAAACAATCATATTGTCAAAGCAAGAAATCATAAGAGTTTCCTAACTCAACATATCCAACGACCCGTTGTCTTCACTACCACCTCCACAGCCAAGTTTCTCATGACTCAATAACAGAGCTTTGTTACCCAAATTCTCAAACCCAAGAAAACTCATCAACTGGGTCACCGAAGGACACCTAGTAAACTCTTCTATCGGCCTCCTATTATGTGAAAAGGAAGTGTCATGGTTTTCCTAGTCACAACTTGAGCAAAAAACAGATTGTTCTGTTTCACAAAAAATGGAAACAGGGGATTCACAGGCATCACAGAGCTGTGACCGAGAGTGCTTGCTGAATAGTTGGTTGGCTGAATGAACCTCCCTGTCGCATAAAAAACAGAGCTTGGCGAAGTCAGCTCTGCAATATAAAGAGCTTCAGATTAGTTACATTAATCACAGAGTCTCCTCTGTTTTTGGTCATTTTCGATCAGTCGCGTAGTTTTTGTTTTGCTTGGGATCTAAGTGTCAAGAAATTTTGTCAAGAAGAAAGGGGAAAACTAATGTAGAATTGAAACGGCACTAAAGTTTTGTCTGCTTTTAGCTTTACGTTGTTTTGGGATAGATATTAATAAAAAAAAACTTTAAAATGAAAAGATATATATACTTTTTATCTAAATAGTTAAAATTAATAAAAAAATTTAACAACTATTATTTAGATAAATAATGAAAAAAAATTTATTATAATATTTTTTTAATTATGACTTTTTCTTATAAAATAACATATCATATACAAATGTATCTTTATATTACTTAATTTGCATAAATAAATCTTTCTAAACAAAATTAAATATATTTAATAGGGTAAGATTAATTAGTTAATTATTAATTTACTTTTAATTATATGTTTAATTTAACTTTTTAATTTATTCTAACAATAATTTAATTTATTTTGTTGTAAAAACTTAAAAAATCATAAATTATTTATAAATTATGATGCTATATAAAATATTCATAAAAAATTATTTTTATAAGAAATGTAAGTTATATATCAAATCTAATATCATAATAAAAATATAAATATAATATTTTTTAATAAAAATAAAATTTTTTAACTTTTTTTTGAGTTTTCTCTTAAATTGAAGTATTAAAAAAATTAAAAATTATAAAAAAAACTAAAAGTTATTGAATATTTATTTTTTTAAATTAAAATTTATTCAAATAAAAAATATTTTTTTATTTTCATTACTTTTTTTTCCTCCTCTCGTCCAAACATAATATAGAAAAAAACAATGAAAGGAGAGAGAAAAATCTTGTTGTAAAGTCTCTAAAGTTCGTTGGAAGACATTCTCATTAATTGGAGAGTGATTTTTTTAACCGTTTATGATCTATCTATATTTTTCGATTGGGGACAGAATGACTTTTTTTTTTAATTAAGATATCCATCTAAGAAAATTATTATTATAAAAAATTATATAAAATAATTACATCATATTAATATATATCTTTTATTTAAATAATATCACATGATTATATCATTTAAAACATTAATTATTTATTACACATAATATGTAATAATTAAATGATAATATTAATTATAATAAATTAATTACTTAATAATAAATAAAATTTTTTATAATGTGATCATATAATATGATTTGAGTAAAAAAATATATTGATATAATGTAATTATTTCATACAATCTTTTTCTTAAATAAAAAAAATGAGCACACAATTGGGATGCATTGGCCACTTATTTTCGTTAATGATAAGATTATCACTTTTTTCACTAATAAAATAATTAGTGTAAATGATATTAAAATGAAGAAAAAATTAAAAATTGATTTAAAATTATAGTGTTTAGATTTATTTGGATTTATTTTTTTATTTGGTTTGATTCGAATATAATATTAAATATTTTAATTTTGATGAATTTCGGATTATAAAGTAAATAATTTAAAATATCTAAATAGAATCAAATTATATTTTTTAAATTTTTATAAAATAAAATATTATTTATATATAAATTTATTCAAATTTATTTAAAATAATAATAAAACATTAAAATTTTAAATTTAAAAATAGATAAACTAAGTTGAACAAAATTAATAAAAGCTCAATTAGAATCCATTAGACTTAAAAAAATCAATTGAAATTCAAATCAAATTTTAAAAAATAAAATATTATGCATAAAAAATGGAGCCGAAATCATTTTGCATTCGTCTAGTTATCAGCACTAATGATATAGTGTATCACTTTTATGGTTAAAATGCTAAAAGAAGCTTTAAATTTTTATTATTTTATTTAAATAAATTTTTATATTTTTATTATATTTAAATCATTTTTTATTTTTTATTTATATTTAAGTAAACTCTTATTTTAAATAAAAAAATTGATTTATTTTATTACTTATTTAAATACAAATTAAAATTTAACAATTTATTTGGATATAAATTAAATTTTAAAATTTTATCTAAATAAATAATAAAGTTAAAAAAATTTTATTATTTTATCCAAAAAAATTATGTTAAATAATCTTGTCAATTTCGAATAGTTAATGTTAAGTTTGGTCGATCAGCCGTATCAATGACCAAACGCATGCTAGAAAGTCTAATAAGCAATCAAATATTAAACCTTACAACTATTGACTCGTACTCAATGATAGTATGTCCAGCTTCAAAATTAATAAAGGGAAACATTTACTGGACACGACACTCGTGCTAACCAGCCGACGAGTATAATCTTTCCTAGCGTAAACATCAATTAAAAGTGTAAATAATAGATTAATATTTATAAATTATTTAAATTTAATTTAAAATTCAAATCGATTATTATTAAATCGAACTTAAATTTAAATAATTTAATTTATCGATTGAATCGAGTATAAATATTTTTATACTCGATTTGAATAGTTTACGAGTCTAATCGAATTTTTATATTTTAATATATTTTAATTATTTTAATTAATAAAATATATTAAATTTAAATTTAAATATAAATAATTAATTTTTTATCAAATATAAAAATTAAACTTACTTTTACATATTAATTGAGTAGTTCAATTTTTGTCTCGAGTTGCACTTGAGTTAAAAAAAAATTTAAACGAATTCGAATCGAATTTCAAATTTTAAATTTAAAATCAAATTCAAAATCAAATTTAATTCTGTATTAACTCAAACTCAATAAATTACGATCCTGACAACACTAAGTTCCAAACCGCAAATATTGTCCAGCAAGGAAAACTACATGCCTCCACCCTTCCATGTCACTTTAACTTGTCTTTCGACACTTCTAAAAGGGACAACACCTATAGGAGAAATGTACGCAAAACGTGTTTCTTTTCCACACATTTTTTTCACTTTAATTTTGTTACCTTATACCAGTTGATTGGTCTGTTTGGCTATAAATTTTGGTACAATTCAGTCACACTTTTTTTTTTTTCATTAATCTAGTAAAGATTGTAGGACACCAAAGTCATCCACCTACTAAAAATGTCAGTTAAGCTTTTTGCAATTTTTTCTTTTAACAAATTTACTCCACTCTATTTAAGTTGATAAATTCGAATTTATCATTAATTTCTAAATAATTAATTTGTTTAAAAACTTAACCATTTCTTCCCGATAAAATATTCCAGTATAATGTTATAATTGCATTTATTTAAGTAGAAGTAGTAAGTTTGATTCATTATATATCCTTTATATAATGGATATATAACCAATATTCTACTAAATCTTATTTCAATAATCAATATTCAATCATTAATAATTTCAAATATATATATATATATAATTTTCTTTCTCGGTGAGAATATAAAAAAAAAAAACCTTTATTATTTATTTTTTTGGATTATTTGAATAATGGGCTTTTTATTGTCAAAAAATTGAACAAAAATAGAGGACGAATCTATGATCGAATTAATCGGGTCATTTCCAATCTACCATTTTTATGTTTTATTAAAAAATAAAATTTATGGATATTTAAATTTTAGGATATTGATAACGTTTTCTTAAATTAATGGAATATTTTCTTGTTTCCTCCTCTCAGGAGGGGCCATATTTTGAGAATATGCACATGTAACCTGTAGGTCATTGTATTAATTTTCAGCACAAAAAATGCTTTCCATGGGAGGCCCCTTCTTTTTATGCTTATTATTATTTGTTGTATTAAGAAGGAACGACGTAACTCGAGCAATCACAGTAACAGGGCAGCCAGTATGCAGATGAACACCATTTCAAATGCAAAAATGGGACTAATACAAACTAAAGTATAAATGTGAAGAAGTAGATCTTTTTCCGATGACAAGTTGACAACTATGGAGCTTGTTTATGGATTATAGGATAACATACCCGCATGAATTCAGCTTCTGCATCTCCTCCTTGCTCTTTTCTGCAGTGCACCAAAACACAAGGGCAAACAAGGAGATGTTAGAGGATCATCAGACCATAGCTACCGAAACATATCAAAGAACCTAGGCATGAACTTCAGAATATTCAGATCACAAGCAACAAAAAAAAAGCAAAGAAAAAGGATAGTGACTGAACCAAAAGCAGAATGATATTCTGGAAAAACAGGCAGTAGAGATTTGATGCCCGTAATCCATCATGCAATAAAAAGAGAAACCAAAATAAAACCTGAAACACTGCATTGTACTTCAAGAACAAGGGCGACATTGCTATAAACTCATTCACATCTTTATTTAGAAAAAGAACTCCATTGACTGTACTAAAATTCTGGGACAATAACTTAATAAATAAAGCACCTAGATGTTTGATCATATATGGGCAATTTTTGAAAAAGTATAAAATCTTGACACCCTAAGTTAAATCAAACTAGGAAGAATTCTACTTTGTTTTTTCAAATTAGTTTTAGTGTTGAGAAAGAAAAGAAAACTTAACTATGAGTTTCAATTGTCAAAAAACTTACTCTCCATGAGAAACTTATGTAGTAAGATCATTGTCAAATATTAAGTGAAAAGTATAAAATAAAGAGACAAAGATGTTTTTTGTTATTATTTTTGCTAATAGCATGAAATTTATTAAAATGACTAAATCTCCAACATGGTTATATGAAATTCCATTGATGATAAACATAGTGTTATTTCCAATGATGATAAAGTGCGACTTACCCAAGAAAATGCATAATTTTCCTTTCAAAAGCATATACTAAAATATCAGAACACAGCAACTACAAGTTTAAGATCATTAATGCAATATCATCTGCTTATTTCTCAAAAATAATTTAAAGCAAGCATCCCTTAAACCCCCACCAACCTTTAGGGAAAAAAAATGATAGTACTGACATCATGAGGAAAAAAGAAAAAGGCAAAATAATCCTTTGGGGGCTTGTTACTGAAGTAGGCAATAATACAATACCTTGGTCTACTTCAATTTCTTGCCTCTCTACTAGCCTCAAAACTACTTTGAGGTTTATTAAATGGATTGCATTTATGGCAGCTTAATTAAAGTAAATGAAAATCACAGAAATTCTTTATTTTGTTTCCCCCATTTTTATTTATTTTTCCTGAGAAATATGTAGAGGAAAGGGATGGGGGGTTTTATAGACAGATTCACATGCCATGAAATTGAGCAAGGATCTACATGAAAAGCTTGTACGTGATAGAAAATAAAGACATCTTAATTCTAAGCAAACTTAAATACCAAGAAGATTTCATGAAACACATTGTCCCAAACACGTATTGTCAAGATAGAGAACTTGACAAACCTGTCTTATTTTTTGCTATAGCAGGCTGCACTACTACATGCATGGTAATAACACCAACAGGAAGGCCACCAAATGTTATCTTGGAATCAGCAAGCTTTTTGTTGTTTTCCAGAACTTTACCAGCATGTATAAGTTTCAAATCATTTATTGCCTTTGGTATGACTGTTTTGTCTGAAAATACATGACTCCATTAACTCAGACAGTTTTTGCAGGGGAAAAGCATCATTGAAGACATTTTAAATTCAAATCCAGTCATTATGAACATTAATAAATATGCTCCATACATATACGAGTTTCATATACAGTGGCCAATCAGCCCTTTCCTCCAAGCTGAATGGTATCATCAAAAGGAAAATTGAAACCTATTCTGTTTACATAAATGAACATTATGGCTAAACCAATGTCATTCAAATGAGCATAAGCCAATATGAAAAATTGTTTTTAAACATACCATACAGGCAATGCTCATCACTGAAGTGAAACTTATCAATGACTGAGTAAGTAACAGATAATGTAGAAAAGAAACTCAGAGCAAAGACCAGAAACAAAAGTATCAAGCACATGCTTAGCTCAAAATTGATTAGATAAATAGAAACAAAATTAACAAGCACAATCAAATGAAGCACCTAAGATGTTTAATCCAATTACAGAATTCAGCAAGGATTAAGTTAAGAGGAGGAAAATGTAAATAGAAATAGATTAATAACCTTGGGGGCACTCAGCAACAATCTTTTGCTTAAGCATTGCAACAGTCATGGATGATGTGTAAGTACTGTGTGATACATCTGTCCCAACATAAATGTGGAATTTAAGCTCAGGAAACTCATTGCCCTCAGCCATAGTAGTCTTTGTTCTCTGTTTCCCAGCTTGCAGGTTGATTTTGATAACAAACAAACAGTTTTAGTCGCAGAATTCAGTGTCTCCTCACTCACCTACAAAAGAATTCCCCATATCTATAACTTAAACCCAAAACCTTCACAAGCTTTAAAATTATACTTGCAATATTGCATAATCAACTCAATTACCTATCCTAGTTAAATAAGGCAAAAGCACAAAGAATTATACATTTTTAATCATAAAAGCTAGAAAGCAGTAAATGAGAACTTCTTGCAATTTTTAAGATGGTTTTCATACTCACGGAGAGAAATGCATACAAAAATTCAAATTGCATTATATTAAACTAACCTCAATTAATCCTCTGAGAAATCTGCTTGGTAAGAGTGCATGTAAATCAACTGCCAGAGAACCTCGCCAACAGAGTGAGCACTTCATATGATCTGATAACTGATAAGCTTCCCGGTCAATAGCTCTCAAGCAATGTTCCTTTTACAAAATGCAGAACTCAACCAATAATATAATAATAATAATAATACTATATTTTGATTGGAGTAAAAAATTGACATAAAAAAACAGGAAAAAGAATCTGAAAAAGAAATGTAATTAAACCTAATCCACATGAATTCAGGTAAGATCTTCCGTTCCTCGTTTTCTTTTCTTTTCCGTTTCATCAATTCATAAAACCTAAATCACAATAAACATCGCCGTTTTCACTCATTCTTTCGTTTTCTTTTTCGTCTATTTTTCTCACCAACTAAACGAAACATGAGAGAACCAAGGAAAATCATCCAACAATGATAAAAGATAATAGAAAAAAAAAAAAAGGACCGAGAGAGGAAATAGAGAAAATACCTATCAAGAAGTCATTGATGGAAGATCAGTGAGACAGAGTCGAACTAATCGAAAGGCTTTTTCTAGCCATCGTGTCGGCCTTTGATCTAAACACAAAAAAACAGAGAAGTTTTCATTCTTTCTTGGGTTAACACTATGTAAGTTTGTTTCAAATTTTATTTTGATTTTTAAATTTTAAAAAATTTTAATGGAATTTTTAATTCTCCAAAATTTTCTATTTTGATTTTTTATTCATAAAATTATTTAAATTAATGACAAATATCTATTAACATAAGGTGAAGAATATCTACTAACATCAAATGATGACTTCACTTAATATTTTACATAATGGACGAGAAATCAAAATAAAATTTTTTTATAATTTAAAAGACAAAAAATGAAATAATCTCCAAAATTTTATAAATTATATATATATATATTCTATAAAATATTAGATTTAAAATTTTTTTATATTTTTTGTATAATATAATTTATTACTTATGTTAATTATTTTTATGTTTTTAATAAAAAATATTTTTTAAAATTAAAATTAAGTTAAAAATTCCAAATTTTTTTTAAAAAAATTCAGTATCATTTTAAAAATAAAAATGATTTTTATAAAAATATTATTTTATTTATAAATCATAATAAAAATATTATTTTATATCAATGAAATATATATTTTAAAATATTAAATATCTTTTATTTTTCATTTTCAAATATATTCTATAAAATATTATGATTTAAAATATTTTTAGTTTTTATAATGATAAAATTTGTCAATAAAATAATATTTTGATAGAAAATAAATTAAGTTAAAAATTCCAAAATAATTTTATTAAAATTACATATCATTTTAAAAAATTAAGTAAAAATTTTTATATCAACTTAAAAGTCCATGTCATGTTAAAATATTATGTAAATATTTTCAAATCATTTTCAAAAATAAATTTATTAATCTATTGAAAAATATAAAATCTATATTCATATAAAATAAAATATAGTTTAAAATACTTTTTATTTTTATAACACTTTTTTATAAAAATATATTTGAAAGGAAAAATAAAAGATATTTAATATTTAAAAAATTTTGGATGGAAAAGAATATGTTTTATTATGACTTATGAGTAAAATAATATTTTGAATAATTTTTTATTTTTAAAATGTATTAAATTTTTAAAAAAGAAATTTTTAATTTTTAATTTAATTTTAAGTTTTGAATATCTATTTTTATTTAAAATAAAAATACATCTAATACGTTATATTATAACAAAAAAGATGTAAATATAATTTTAAATTTAATATTTTTATAAGACATGTATGAAATTTATAAAATTTTGAGATAATTTCGTATTTAATTTCTAAACTTGAAATAATTCTATTTTGATATCTCATTTATCACATAAAATGATAGCTGATGTCATAACGTAATTTTAATTGACATTTATCATTAATTTAAGAAGTTTTTTAGATGAAAAAAATCAAAATAAAATAATTTTAGATAATTAAACATTTGATTAAAATTTTTTAAATTTTAAAAAATTAAATAAACTATAGATCAAAGTTTAAGAATTATTAACCTTTTTTTTTTGTGTAGTTAAAACAATTTTTTCTTTTTTTTTTAAGTATTAATATTTAATATACTAACAATGTATCATTTTTATTCATTATTAATGAATAATATAAGGGTATTTCATTAATAAATAAAATTTTAAATTTCAAATTTTTAAAAATAAATATTAATAAAGGTATGGGATGTGCCATTAATTTTTTTACAAATAAAAAAATGACAAAACAAAATTTGGTGAGACGAGAATTAAAATCAAGTAAAAAGAATTAAAAAATCAAAAGAAAGAAATGGTAAATACAAGGAAGGTGATAAAAAAAAAAGTTTTAATTTTAATTAATTAACCCAGTGTACTTCTTCTCTTCAGAATGGATCGGTCAAGCTCTTTTTATCTTTCCAACTCCAAACACGCGATGATCAAAGATGGCTCTGCCAGCTATCTATGATAGTCAAAAGAAAACTGGATCAGATAGAATGTGCAAAAGTGCCTTTTACCTCGCCTTCGACAGTCCTTCGTTAGTCAATTTCGAGTCTACAACTACAAATAGGCTATAAAAGCAAGCACCTATGGTTGAATAGAACCTAATTTTTCAAAGGTGATTGTTGGCAGGGCAAGTAAGGACGTTAAGCCGACGGTGTTCCGAATTGAATGGAATGAGCACCAGAGGGAACTCCCCAGTGGAAATGAATACGAATTGCAAGACTTGGAATAGGCTCCGAAACGAAACGGATGGATGAGAACGGAATCTTTTCAATTGAAAGAGAGTAGAGTTCAATCAATCTGTTTGTCTGCCTGTGCCCCCCGGACGGGAAAGACAGAGAAAGAGTAGAAAAGAAAGCATCCGGTAAATGCAGAGGGAGATGACAAAGAAAGAAAATTTTTAATTTTAACTAATTAATTTTTAAAAAATTTATTAATATTTATTTTTAAGAATTTAAAATTTAAAATTTAAAATTTTATTTATTAATAAAATATTTTTATATTATTGACTGATAATATATAAAAATGATACATTGTCGATGTATAAAATATTATTTTTTATAATTTTTTTCCGAAAATCTATGTGATAAGAAGTCAAAAATCAAAATAGATAAAATATTTCGCAAGCTCCATTATCCTAATGAGACAACGAGAAAGTGGAATGAAGCTCTTGAATTTTCCATTCCCTTCTTGCCACGTCAAATCAAAGATTTGCATGAAATGACTAAATTAACCAGACTCTGCACGTGGCATTTCGTAATTGGCATTTCTATAATTAAAGCGGTTATAAACAAATGGAGAAAAAAAAAAAGGTGGCCGTTACAGTTAGTTATTTTCCCATGCAGACCTGAAACTAATTCAGCTTTTTTATTTTCAAGCTCAAAGTAATATGAACTTGGTTGTTCATAGAAGCTGAATGACTGAATGCTGAATTTTTAATTTTATTAATTAAATTTTATATTTTTATAGTTATTAAAATAAAGAATATAAGCTTAATCACATTAAATTTTCTAATAATAACATAGGCAAAAATTGTATTGGCAATTTAAACCAGTAGAATTTTGTTTGCTAATTCTTATTTTTTTAGCGGCTACATTAGCGACATTGGGATTGTCATATTATTAGCATTTACATATGATTTCAAAATAAAAATTCATCTATATAATTAATCACTTTATCATTGAAAATAAAAAGGACAATTAAATCAGTCATATAACATTCTTGACCTTGTACTTTTTCCGTTCGCTGTTACTGCCTTTGCTTCATTCATTCCTTTTCTTAAAATATTTGATTGACTTAAGCATTGGACGCGTCTCAAACTTTTAACTCCGGCACTCGTCGAACTTATTTTTGGTGACAGATTTGACACATTATCCAGTTTAGCTTCAAATAAGCTCCGTTTAATTACAACAGACCGGGAAGTACGTCGACAAGAAGAAGGCACGTGAGTTCCCATGTTAATATTTGTAGAAAATTAAGGGCCTATGCTGTCAACTATCAAGCTTTTTCTTCTATGTATATACTACTATTAATTGAAATGTTTGGTCAATTAGTCCAGCTTGGGCATTCCTGTAAAGCAAAGAGAGAATAAAATGCAGAAGATGGTGACTGTGACACCCATGACTGCGATTGGTACTTGCAACCCACTAGGCAAGTGAAAGCGCGCGGGCAGAGAGAAGGAATGGGGGCAAAGTGCTTCCCTCAGACAAAGGTTTATCCCCAAAATCCTCTTTTTTGCCCTGCTGCTGTCATACTTTAGTTATGGTTATCACTCATATGAGTGAATATGTATATAGGCGTTTCTGTATATGTATTTACACAGTTCAGCTGCAGGGTGGCACGCATACACAGGTTATTCAGGAGTATATTGCATACAAAGTAGTGCAAGCTAGCATGGATTTGCAGCTATCACAACCAGGTGATAGGTAATGTCTGATGATAGCTACAGAGTGGTCAAGCGGTCCATCCTCTGTTCTCGATGATTAAAAAAGATTCATCATAGGCCCACAAAACATGATTAAGACTGACAAGATTGACTATTAGAAAGCTGACGAGTTCGAATATTGTGTGATTCCCTTTGTAGGATTCCACCTCCATTGATTCTGCTTTTGCCTACTTTGACAGCATTCATATGCTTGTCTCCATATACAATGGAAGAATCTACTCAAGACATAATTTACAGCGAATTTTTTTTTCCTTTCACTTTGTCTTCTGGATGATAAGAGTAATGCAATAACTAATAAATTTATGGTCATTGTGAATGATCAGTTCAGTCAGAAAGATATCTATTCCCATATACATTGACGGATCCAAATGAAGACTTAAGATGTCCCTGAACATCTCTAAAAATAAATGATCAGTTCAGTCGTCAAGAACATCTCTAAAACTTGAAAAACAATAAAATTTAATGAAAAACTTTTGCTTATACATCTTTCCGTCCATGAAATTGATAAATTTATTATATATATATATATATATTAATAGACATATATCATGTAAAATGGGGAGGATCGCGTTTAGGGTTAGGGTCATGCACATATCAGTTAAGTGATTTGAGTGTAGTGTCCATCTTTTTTTCTTCTTGAAAGAGATAGCTGTGTTGATTTGAATTTCCAATATTTACGTGGAATTATTCTCTTTGAAGGTGAATTCAGAATCTCGTTTTATTCAGCAACAAGCCTGTCCACCGCAGAATCGTTTACAAATAATGCTGAAACATTTGAACCAAAGATGTAAATATTATTGCTCCATATAATACTGGATCCGAATATTTCCCTACTGATATGTAGCAGCAGATTTTACCAAGTTTTTGTTGCAAAGTCTGAGGAGAAGTTTTCTACATGTCTACCATGGCAGAAGGGGAAAAAAAAAAAACAAAGTAAATTCAATTAAAGAATAAAAGGCAAGGAATGCAATACCTTTCTTTATCAAAAGATAAAGTGGAAGAACCAATGGCAGCAGACAAGAGAAAAAGTTAAGAATTTTCCTTTCATTTTATTTTATTTATTTATTTATTGGAAAAGACTTAAATAAATTTTCTTAGGTAAAATTCAGGGAATTCTCTATTAAAACCGATTAACTAAAAACTAAAATTAAAAATCAAAATTGATGGATTGAAAAATCTCGTTACATAGATTAAGTATACAATTTTTTAAAAAATTTTAATAAATTTTGATATATATTTTTAGATAAAAATTTTTGATAAAAATATTGATTGAATTTTTATCATTGAATAAGTATCGCTTAAATTTGAATTATAAATAATATTTTAAATATTTTTTTACATATTATTAATTTTTACATTAAATTTTATCAATTTATCGGTTTTTATTTTTTATTAAAATTTTTATTAAATAATTTTCAAGAAAGAATTTCACACACTTCACCTAAAAATTGTGTAAATTTTATCATTATTTTTTTGCATGTGAGGGATGCAATAGGTGGTCAGGTCCCTCCACATAACAAACTTTTGATGTTTCGGGGGCTTTTCTATTTTATACTACTACTTGTAGTTCTTATAGATTCAGAAATAATCAAAAGATAGATCATGGGGAATTGTATTATGATGCTTCAACATAAAAGCCATTCATTTTTTTTTTTTTAACAGAGGAGGTCGTGCAGTTTAAAGGTAGGAGAAGAGGTTGAAGTGTTGAATTTTGAACCCAAAGTTGCCGGAAAACGATTCACTTTATCACTAGTAGCTGGTATTTTGAGACCGTACAATTCGTTGGATGGACCATTAAAAAAAAGATGGCATATTGCTTTGCAGAAACTAACATAAAGTTTATTCAAAATTTGGAGTTCAGACTTGAAACATACGCTCACAAATGATGTAATTTATACAGATGGTGCAAAAATGAGAAGTTTGTTCATGTTCATATATATTTACATTTGTACATTATACAAATGGCTTCACAGTTGATTAATGAATGAACGAAACTATTGCAGAAAGTATATTTCTTGACGTATGCAAAGCATCCGAATAACATACAGCAATCATTCAAATTCTGCTGAAAGCTCAAAAGCAGAAAAGTATATAAAGTTAACTTCATTAAGAAATAGAAACAGATTGCATGCTGGAAACTAATCCATAGCTACGGAGCACGAGACATAGAAAGCTACACAGACTACACAACACACAGCTCACTAGGGACTACTGATTTGAGCCAATTTTATTCTTTCAGTGTGATATTGAAGTACTTAATTCAACGTAAAGCCTGATAAGGCTTCAGCAAAGGTATCAGCCCTCCACCTAGATGGAGGGACATGACTTCATTGGTGGAGCCTACCAGCTTTCCACCAATGAAAACAGCTGGAACAGGCGCGTTACACCCCAACCTCATGAGTGCTTTCTCCATTTCCCTGCCGTCGGGGTCTTGGTCGATCTCATAAATCGTAGGGGTCACCCCAAGCTGATCTTGAAATAGATTTTTGACTACATAACACAGGCAACATGAGCTCTTGCTAAATAGCACTACCCCTTTCTCTGAGGCCAATCTCATCACCTTGTCCATGTTGAACCCGGTTGACAATGTTTGCTTAATATATATGTGCAAAGCTCTGTTGTGAAGACAGTAATTAACAAGGGACAAAGAAACGTTTACTTTAGGGAAGTCCCTTGGTTACCTGTCGATTTCACTTAAAGTTTAAAGACCATCCGATCGAATTCAGACTGCATTTGATCCAATGGTAGTGGGACGTTGGACTTTGAGAAGGTGAAGTGGGAAAGAGAGAAAAGAGTTCAAAGCTTGAGGTTGTTGGAACTTAAGCTCCCATGCTAGAGTATTTATAGGGACATCATAGAGTAGACACCTTAGTTTGAACAAGAACATTCAAAAGAAAATGTGCTTTACCTAGATGCTAAAACCAATAAAGTTGCTTTATGGATGGGGACTACTGTGTTTGCATGGGCTCAACAAGTTGGCGACAAAAATTTTCTGCTAATTATTATTCAAACCATCAATGATCAAACTGATTGACAGTAAACCAATAGCCATCTGATATAAACACTTTTGAAAATGGATGGTCCAAACTAGCAAGATTTATGTAAAATTGATTTCGCGACAAACGTCTTCAGCCAACTAACCATGTATTCAATTTTTTTTTTTTAAGATTTTATGGCCATGGTGAATACTTTCTAATTTCTATCAAGATCTAATAAAAGAAGAAAATTCTGAGGCGAGCAGATTCTCACAACCGCCTCCTTTGAATCCTTATGAAGAAAGATTGCGCATGAGATTGCGAATGTGATGGCTTTCGGTGGCCGTAATTCTTTCTGTTGTGCCCACCAACTTGTATGATTCTTCCCACATGTGAGCACTCATATAGGCTCACTTCACTTCATGAATAGGACTGCTGCTTCCTTATAGCGCCATCACATGTGCAAGTGATCAGCCTGTGAATGGCGAATGGTCACACGTGCAATGACATGTAACAACAACCATTCCTTCGTCAAGATCTGATATGATTCTCCATTCTTATGCCATCTTACTGCACAGAATAAAAGCGATTGGCTTTACAAGAAGTGCACACTGTAGAAGAGTATCCATGAGGTAGGTATAGCAAAGGAACAATTTTGCAAAATCATGAATAATTTAACAAATGATATTATATATACGAACTAAATATATGTTTGTGCATGTGAACGATCATCCATGCATCTAGGAACTTCCATGCATAATAAAAAATTAACCTTTTGGCCTTTGAGATTTAGATGGTGGAGAAATAGAATGAAGGCATAAAAAGTTCCAGCACCACCTTTTTGTCTGTCAGATAGGGTTATATACACATCAGTTGGTGTAAAAATCACTAACTAAACTTGCTAACTGATAACTGATATCTCGTATGCCAAGTGTCTAGTCAATGGGGTGACAGTGCCAGAAAATAAGGAACCAAACCAATTTGATGTCACTTTTAAAATTAATTAACACCTTAAAAAGAAAAGCACTGAAAATGTGCAATACCTTCAAGAATTTCATCAGCTTTTGCAATAGTCAATTCATGACACAGGTCAGGGCATAAGTTTTCATTTGGAACAATATTTTTTATTACGAGAACAGTAATCATTCGCATTGTGGTCATGAAAACTTTATTCTATTATATAGTTTTGCTTGCATAGGAGAAATAATTCTTCAGTGGGAATTCTGTGAACACCATCAGATCCTAAATTAGGTTTAAGACCATGCATTTACGTCTGTTTCTGATAGGAAAAAATCATACAAAGTGAAAAGCCTTATTACTTACTAGTGTGTTTCCTGATATGTGCTTTCATATCCATGGAAATGGAAGCAGGCACCAGCACCGGTAAACATGTAAGATACCATGATGTTTTCTATACAACGTATTCAAGGAACTCAAGAAAAAGCAAAGCCCATAATACAGCATTTCCTCCTTTAACAAGGTATTAGATTTATTTTCACAATAGTATTGAGTTTGCCAATTCAGTAGGCAAGTTGTTTTTGTCATTGCTAGAACCAGATGGCCTTTGCATCCATGAGCATTTGTTTCAGTGATCCATCTACATGAAGGGATATGACATCTTTTGCTGAGCCTACAAATCTTCCACCTATGAACACAGCTGGGACTGATGGATCACACCCTAGCCCTCTTAGAGCCCGTTCCATATCTCTCCACTAGGATCATGGTCAAGCTCATGAATTGCAGGGCTAGCACCAAGCTCATAAAAAAGTGTCGTGATGCTATAGCACATGCAACATGAGCTCTTAGTGAATATCACAGCAGCCTTCTTCGATGCCAGATCTCTTACCCTGTCCATTACAACAAGATGATTTCCTTGATTTTGTTGAGAAAAATGAAACAATTCAATCTGAATGATCAAAAAGTTACTGCCAATGCAGCTAAGTTTTAAAAAGCAGCTGATGAAAAGTAGGTGTAGGAGAATTAAGCTTGAAAGAAAGGTGAACAGACAGACAAGTGCGCAGGCTTGTGTAGGAAACTTATATGTGTTAAGGCTTAGCTCTGATGGACTTTGAGATTTCATCATCTCTTATTTATAAGGCCTGGAGAGAGAGTTGGATTGCATTATTTAATGCAAAAAAAGAAAAAAAGAACAAAATAAAATTATGTGAAAGGTTAAAAAGAAGGAAGTTCCTTGAGATATTTGTTTGGATAAGAAAACCCCTCCCCAAGATTTGTTTGATAGCGACGAACCTGTATGCCATCAACAAGTTGAAATTAGCATCCATCATCGTATTGCTAAGTAGCCGTTTGGATCCTATCAGTACTGTACGATTAAGTCACTGCACCTTTAATTAAATTCAAACATCAATTTCAGTGTGATTAAATCAGTATAAATTTTTTATTAAATTTATTTTTCAATCATAATTATTATAATTTTTTTTTCAATCGTATTTACAATAAATTTTATTATTATTTTCAATCTCAATGCAATTAATCTCACTGTCCATCTAAATGAAGCCTAAATTAAATTTACTTGATTGTCCGTACAAGTTAATGCTGCTGGATAATAGAATCAGTAAGTTCATGTTTAAATATTATTACAAAAAGTTATTTAAATGCAATAAAGGAGACAAAAATAATGACACTAATGATATCAAACAATAAAATAATACTAATAATACACAAGAATTCTGTTTATTTACTGTAGTAAATTCGGAATGTCAATGACTTGGAATAGAATCACTTTCTCTGAGTTTGAGGCATCGATTTTATCTGCAAAATTTTTAAGTAGCATGATAATGCTGATAATAACTGAAAAAGGTTCCTCACCTAACATCAAAGTTAATGCCATTTTTCCGGCAAAGTAGAGGCTAATCTTATTTCATGGATTGAGAAGTAAAGATCATGTACTTGCACTTAAGTTCAATTGCCTTTTCATTGTTGACAAAGTTGCAAGAGCATGACAGTTTTAAACTGCCTTTTTCTTTTGGGTTTCAAGTTATTTTTTGGTAGCTTGTCATGGTGGAATTGGCAGGCTGATGTAGAGAAAGATAAGAATTTGTCCAAGGCATTCCCACTTTGCTTCATTGGTCCCCTTCTCAAATTTTATTTTATTTTTTATTTGAAGTTGTTAGGATTTGAATTTAATTGAAATTAAGAATTTAAAATCTTATCAATAGTCTATGCGGGACAAAAAAAATTGAAAATGCGGAGATTTGAACTTCAAATAACGTACTAAATGTCCCTTTCTCAAAGTCATGGTATATAAAACATCAAGAAAATTATCTCACAATTCATCCAATTCATTCCCACTTGCCTAAAACTTCAAGAGAATTATATCTCACAGTTCATTCTTTTAAATGGCTTCAATAACACATTTGTTACTGATTTAGATAAACAAAAAAGATACTTGTAGATTAGCTTTGTGTTGTCAGTCACTTGGGGGAATATTTTGGTGCTTATCAATCCCTATGAATGGAAGGGATAAATTGTCCTTGAAAAGATGGCAAAGGCCAGCACATTTTAGCAAATGAAAACGCTAAAGGGAACAAAAAACAAGACTACCTACTTGGCCCTTCCATAACCAACAAAATCTGCATTGGCTAGGCCAGTAGGTCCATCTTCTTCTTTGTTCTGCATCATCTCTTTAGAATGGAACAATCCTTTTTTTTTTTCTTTCTGCTCTCAGGCTTACCACATAACATGTGTTCGCTACACTACACAATTGTCGCTTGCTCTTATTATCATACACATAGATACATACATATATGTAGATGATTAATTTTTGGCACGTACATGATGTATGTATAATTCTTATTCTTAAAAATTCATTTGAATAAATTATTTTTTTAATACTATGATAATAACGATACATACTAATAATTTAATTTTGATTTTGATATAATATAAGTAAAATTTGATAACTTTCGATATAATTTTGAGAACTTTCAATATTGGTTTGATAACTTATGATATAATTTTGATAATCATTGATAAAATTTTGATAATCTCTTGATATAATTTTAATAATTAACCTTTTAGAAACTTATGATAAATTTTTAGTAATCATTGATAATATATTAATAAAATAATATTATTGTATAAATATTATATTAATAAATATTGTTATATTTATTATATAAATAATATTATATTAATTAATAAATAATATTATATTTATAAATAACATAATGTATTAATAAAACAATATTATTTATTTATTTATATAATATTATTTATTAATACAAAGATATTATATATTAATAATATATTATTAATATATAATATCTATTAATATATTATTTATATCATATTAATATCATATATTATTTATAATATTTATTAATTAATATTAATATAAAATTTTATTAACATATTATTTATATTAATATAATATATTATTATTAATATATTAATGTATTATTAATATATTATTAATATATTTATATATTATTAATATAATATTTATCATATAATTATTATATATTTTATTATTAATATATCATATTAATAAGTTATTATATTATTAATATGTTATATTAATAATATATTAATAAATAATATATTGTTTAGTAATATAATATTTATCAATAAT